AGTGGTCTGTTCTCTCTAAGAAATCCTGGGTTGTTTCTTCCATATTGTTTTCTTAATGGCTGCTATCAGTTGAGAATGATAAAACTTCCGGGTCTAAGTGATCATAGGTAGTTGAATTTGGAATAGGTATTGTTATTGATCATCATAACTTCGTCTACAGGAACTACAAAAACATGGAAATCCAGGCATTGTCATGGCTTTGGTGGGTAACAAGGCTGATCTTCAGGAGAATCGAACTGTTTCAGCTGGAGTACGTGTTTGTAACTTAAGCTAAAGGACATTAGTTCTTCTATTACTTGTTTGAGCTTATAATGGCATCTATATGAAGGCTGTAATGACCTCTGTTATTTTCCATCCTAAAGGATGCTTCAGAATATGCTGATAAGAATGGAATGTTCTTTATCGAGACATCTGCAAAGACGGCTGATAACATAAATCAGCTTTTCGAGGTATGTAAAGTCTGCCTTTTTTAACTTTCTGGAGTTTGGTCTTGAGGAGAATGTCTTACACATCCGTCTCATTTAGTAATATGCTTTTTGAAGAAAAAAATTGGTAATTTTCGTTAAGCATATTATGATAAATGTGAAACAGAAATAACGATATGGGTTTTGGTCATTGGGCCTTACTTGGTTCCTTTTCGTGGTCCTGCTGACCAAACTAATAACGGAGGGATAGTGCAGAATTGGCAGATTTGCTAATTGACTGCTGTGAGGGAGGATTAGTTTATGAATTTTTTTTTTTTTTTTCTTTTTTGAGTAGCAGGTCATACTTTTATGATTTATAGTATTTTATGGTTTTATTTTCGCGTCTCTGGTTTATCTACTTGATTGCTGATAAAATTAGCGAATAGAGCTAAAGATCAATAGGAAAATATTTGGACATGAGATAACCTGCTGCCGATCTTAGTTTTTCTTTTTGTCGTTTTACAAAAGATAAAATGGCTCAAGTTGTTTAATGAAAGAGGACATTCTCTTTAGCATCAAGAGGTTGAAATCAACCTGAAAATGAGAGGTGATCTTTGTTTGATTTCTAACAAGTACCTACTATTACAAAATAGAGAATTTTTAATGTAAGCTTTGATGAAAAAGCTCTGAAGATACCCATGTGGATAATTAATTGCAAAAAGGCATTGTTGTGTTATTCTGTGTTGAGGTGTAGCTTATGGAACTGGTAATCATTGGCATTTCACAATAACATGGTCACTGATCAGTCTTAAGGTACATTATTATGAACTTTAAGAATTCTTACAAGTTACAATTCAATATGGAGTTTTTAAGTTTTTCTCTTGTACTGGAAGCTGAAAGTTGGTTCATCTGATACAATCTCAATTGACTAACCAAAGCTATTTCTTTTTACTTTCGTGGTAGTACTTGGCCATGCACTGGTGCATGTTGTACATTATATGCGACTGCTTATGTGCTCAGGCATCTACTCTCAATGGATTAACTGAACTGCTGCAACGAGATGCCAACAATATTTTGAGTAGTCTGCAAATATTATGGAAATACTTATTAAAACTATGCATGTTCTTTATTTGTTGAGGTAATAGTCTTTGACCTTACCTTCCAAAAACTCCAGGAAATCGCAAAACGTCTGCCCCGTACACCTCCGATGTAGTCAACTCAGATTGCATCATCTTGAACCACTCCACAACAATGTGTCATTGTATAGTATGGCTGGGCATGGTTGAGGCGTTAGGCCTTGTTATATGAATTCTCTATGGTGCTGGTAGAAGCTGTACGGAACTTATAACGTTGAAAGTGTTCTACAATGCCATGCAACCCTTTGGTGCTTCGAATCATGCTATGTGCCTGTTAAGACTGAAAGTGCCAAAGTGCTCTTTATAAGGAGAATTGTTGTCTCATCCTTGATTCGGATGGTTATCATGTGCTGTTTCATGAATAGTTATACATGCATTTCTTTCTGATTCAGTTGCTTTTGTATTCTCGATTAACTTCCTGTCTCTTGGGAACATGAATTATGGTAAACTTCCGTTGGGCTGCTTGGTTCAGGTACTTAACATCTTCTCTTCCTTCTTTAGGAGTAGGGCTAAAAGGGTTACTCAGGAGAAGCTTTCTTTGTGGATCACTACAATAAACTTTGTTGCCAGTTTTACTTGAATGTGACACTCATTGATCAGAAATTATGACTTGCCTTGAATGTACCTCTTCTTATAAAAATATTATTTTATAATATTTATATGATGCATATTCGTGCAAGCATATGGGGGTTGATAATAAACAAACATACGTTGGGCTGAAAAGGAAAATCAACGAAATCCTGAAGAGAGTGGAACAAAGTTTTTGAAGTGTTTTAATTTTCTTCAATGAAAGGAATTGTGATTCGCTGAACACCAAAACTTTCTGACCTCTCTCACTCTCTCGTTTCTCTCATTATTTAAATGTCTTTGGTTCATTAGAACAGGTCTAGCTTCAGCAGGGATTTTGTCTTTAGAAAATCTATCAATGTAAGGTAATTCAACTATATGCTTTTTCCTATGTCAAAAAGCACTGGGTAAATCAAAACATAATTTTTTTTAATGAAGGGTTCTTTAATGTAATTTATTTTCTTGTTTAGACTTTCAACCTTGTCTAAGCGTTCTTTTATACATTTTCTTTTCTTTCTACCGATAATTGTAGTTCATTTATAACTTTATTTTTGGGTGCAGTTGGTATACGGATGCATCCGTAGCTGTAGAGGTAAGGTGCACCTTCAAATTTTATCATGGTATATAACTTTGATGTAAAATGTTCTTAGGATTATCTCAAAATCTATTTATATATCTTATTATAAAATTTTAAATTTAAAAAATGGTTAAAATCAAGTAGATTTATAAACATATGAAAATCTTGAAAATGGACGGTGTAGATAATATGTTGTAAAATGCACTATTATTGAGATTTAAAATCTTTTTATTTTTCTTGGTCATATATCTCGATGTCGAGATGATCAATCAAAGGGTTTGTCAATATTAAAATTACTTTTTCCAATGGATTTTTGAGGAGTTCTACATTATAAACTTTTTCCTTTATTTTTAGTATCAATAGAGTCTTGTATCGTATTATTACTTTTTGTAATGTGGTCTTTCACAAAAATTAAAAGTTATTAGATATTCTCCTATCTTCCCATGTATTCTTATTTCATGTACTGGGAAAGGCTAAATCATGGCCAAGAATGCAGTTCCAAAAATAATTATCTGTCGAAGATCTTTGACTAATGCACAATTGGTTTTATACATAAACTATCATTACATAGGTGAACATTTCTTAGTTTATATTTAATATTCGTCTTATTAAATTTTGTAGTGCAAAGTTTTTGGTCACTTTTTTCAAAAAATCTGGGTAGAATTAGTTCTTCTCTAATACAATTTAATTTTGTGCTATATAGTTTATTAAAGCAATACTGGGAACGTGAAATCTTCGACTTTTATAGTTATTAAAGAGCGTCATCTTTGAATTAGATTGTTGCATCTGATTAGGAAAATCTTCTTCCTCACTTTGTATGTTAAAAGAATCGGGTTCCTCTTTTTCTTCTAATTTTTGAACTCTATTTTCAGTTCTATTGTTTATTGTTTTGTTTCATGGTCTAAGAAGGGTGAGAACCTTAAAATTTCTCTTAACCCATCCCAAACCCGGGTAAAGGAGGTGCGTTATATTAGGTGGGAAATCAACATAAAACTTTGCCAAAGCTTATGATAAATTCATATTCTATAGTATTTGTTTATGCTAGGGCATTCTCTAGAAGCGAAGCGCCGCAGCACCACCTAATTGTGGTGAAAAATAGGCAATGGTTCATGCGATATTCTGGACGAGTGTGGATAAATAAGCTAGTTCAAGAGAATAGGATTCGTCTAGCCACATAAAATGTAGGAACACTTATAAATAAGGGTATGGAGGTAGTAGGAACACTTATAGATAAGAGTATGGAGTTAGTAGGTATAATGAAATGGTAAAAAAACAAAAAGTGGGTACAATGAGATGAAGGAGAGTAAACACAGACTGTCTATGTAAAACTAAATAGAAAGGAGAAAAAACTAAATAAATAGATGGGTATAAACTTTGTTATACATGAAATGATAATAAAAGAAATGATGTAGGCATAATAATAGAAAGATTTAAAAGATAAAATAGTTAATGTCAAGAGAGTAGGTGATAGGCTCTTATTAACTAAAATTATATTAGGAAAATAGATAATTAACGTAATTAGTGCTTATGCATTGCAAGTAGGACTAAAAGATAGAATTACGAGACAATTGTGGGAGGAAAGGACCTTTTTAAGAGGGGCTTTAAATAGTCATGTACGGAAGGATAGTAGAGGATAGGAAGGGATACATGGGGATATGAGTTTAGTAGAATAAATGAGATGAGTGAGGCTATTATAAAATTTGTTTTGGCCTATGACCTGGCAATAGCAAATACTTACTTCCAAAAATAAGATGAACATTCAATAATCTATAAAAGTACGGCATGCAAAAGTCAAGTAGACTTCTTCCTACTTAGGAAGGTAGATCGACCATCATGTAAAGATTGTAAAGTTATCCTAAGAGAGAGTTTGACTACGCCACATAGGCTTGTGGTTAAGAACGTCAGTATAAAGAGATGGAAGAGAATTGAATAAATTAATAGGTATCCAAGAACTAAGTGTTGGAATTTAAAAAATAAAAAAATACTTATTTTTTCCAAGAAAAATGGAACTAAGAACACTAGGTCAATCTTATGCGGATTGAGGTTACTGACCACATAAAGAAAGTGACAAAAGGAGTTTTAGAAAAAAACTAAAGGGAAAATAAATTATGATAAGAAAACTAGGTAGTTGAGTAATGAGGCTTAGAAGGCCATGAAAAACAATCAGGTTATAGAACATGGCAACTCAATAGAAATGATCAAAATTTAGAAGAATATGAAAATGCTAAGCAAATATTAAGTAAGGCTAAATTCAAGGCATATGATAACCTAGACAGTAAACTGGGAACAATAAAAGGTGAAAAATGTTCATTCAAATTAGTAAAAATCAAAGAGGAAAGTTTAGGGATCTAGATTCCAGACCATATTAAAAGCATTAAGGGTGATGATCAAAGGGTATTAGTGAATGATGAAGAGGACAACAAGGTTTATTTTAAAAAAATTTAAATTACAAATACAATGGAAATACAATGGCGTCATAGATACATTCATAGGATTAGAATATTAGAACTGAAAGAAGCTTTGAAGAAGATGGATGGTACCCCGATAGGGGTTTGGAAGTGATGGGGGAGATCCATATTGATTGGCTGAACAAGTTGTTCAATAAGGTATTGAGAATAAATAAAATGTCAGAAGAAGGGAGGAAAAGTACTTTGGTGCCTATTTATAAAAAGAAATAAAACATACAAAATTGTGCGAACTATTGAGGACATATTATGAAGCTGTGGGAGAGAGTGATTGAGCTACGATTAAGGCATCAAACGAGCGTATCAGAAAACCACTTCGGTTTTATGTTAGGGAGCTCAACAATTGATGCTATTTTCATACTTTGGTAACTGATTGAGAAGTTTCGGGCGGAAGGAAATACCAAAAAGGAGTGGGGACGAGGAAGTAGTTTTGAGTAAAAGGAAATAGTTTGGTAACAATTGATGCAAGTTTAGTAATAATAGGGGTGGAGATGAGGAAGTAGTTAAGATTGACGGTCAAGATATATAAAAAAGATCACATTTTTTATATTGGGTAGATAATCTAGGAAAATGGAGAGTTGAGGAAGATATCGCACACAGAATTAGAGTTAGGTGGGCGAGGTAGAGATGTACAACCAGTGTTTTATATGGTCATATCATACCAATTAAGTTGAAGGGGAAGTTTTATAAGACAAATATGAGACTAGCTTTGCTTTATGGAGTGGAATGTTGGGTAGTTAAGAAACAACATACCTAATAAGATGAGTATAGTTGAGATGAGGATGTTGAGATGGACGAGTGGCTAGATAAGAAGGGCTATAATTTAAAACTTAAATGTAGCTCCAATATAAGATGACAAAAAGTAAACTTAGGTGGGCTGACCATGTGCAGCACAGACCCGATACAACGCTTGTTAGGAGGTGCGAGTTGGTTCAAGTAGAAGGCTTGAAAAGGGCAAGGGGTAGGTCCAAAAGGACATGGTTAGAAGTAGTGAGAAAGGATATGACGACTTACGGCCTCACTGAGGGTATAGCCCTTGATAGAGCAGAATGGTGAATCAGGATTTGTATAGCCAATAGTTGGTAAAAGGTCATGCTGATGATGATAACCTACATCCACGGGAGAATGGCGCGAGACTTTACTTACTTATTTGGAAAGATTATAAGGTGAAAGCTCAAAATATCAATTTCCAGCAGCCATTTCTTACTCTAAACTGAGCCAAAAAACAAGGCTCCAAGAACACCCAAAAATAGGTTCTTTTTAAAACTCTCTCACTAAAACAGGGCACACAACCAACCCATAAATGGAGTTCAAGCCTTTTTCTCACTTTCTCTCTCTAAAACAAAGCATACCAAGCTCTCAAGATAAAACCCCAATCCCTCTATCCTGTTCTCACTCTTTCTCTCTCTAAACAAAAGGGTTTTAATCCTTTTAAAAGAGTAAAGTTCCTACAACACTACAACCATTGGATTAGATGCAATCCAATGGCCTAAAATAAAGAGAGAAAAGTTAAATAAAACTCCCACATGCATCATTTTTTTCACACATGTAACAATGTCCTACTTGAAGACAAATTACAAAGTATCTGAAATAATCACTAATGCACCACTCTCCATCCATCCGAAGTTATGTCACCTCCAACCCCGAAAGTCTTCTACACCATATTCTTTCCAGTTGAGACAACATTTGTCAACATATTAGCAATGTTATTCTCATTGTGAATCTTGTCCACCTGCAAATCTCTACGCTCGAGAGTCAACCAAATAAAATGATAGCTAACCTTTATATGCTTTGTCTTGGAGTGATAAGCTGCATTCTTAGCTAGATGAATCGCACTCTGGTTATCACAATGCACAACATATTTATCCTGTTTCACCCTAAACTGGCAAAGTAACATTCTTAACCAAATCATTTCTTTCGCTGCCTCAGTTAATACCACATACTCAGTTTCAGTTGATGACTAGGCAACAATATCCTGTAATCTTGACATTCAG